TTTGGTTCTTCATCTATTGGGTAAAAAGTTTTTTCAAGAGAGTTATTTTAAAATAAGACCTGGGGAGAATATTGCCGGACAAAAACCAAGGGAAGTGATGGGGACTTATGGCTCTTTCCCAACCATGATATTCCCTGCCTTACCCTATGGTAAACATTGAAATCTTTATCCACCAATAAATAAACTTTGTTTTTACAAAGCCATTTATTATGGGATTAAGCCTAACAATTTTGCAACAACGAAATCATTGGACTTTCGTATATATTTTAAATATAAAAAAGACCCATTATTACAAAAATTAATGAAACAAGCCCTCTTGAACACAAGTCTTGCCTCTATCTTACCTTATTTGTAAATTAATTTCTATGATCCTGTTTTGGATCCTCTGTTTTGATTGTGTCACCAAAAAATCAATTAATTTGTCTATCTATCTAAGACCCAGTGTCTTTGGCCAGTAAATTAAAATGTCCTTTTTAATGCAAACCACCTGATTCGATCTATCAATTTAATATTCAAATTGGGGCTTTGTGTTTGACTGACATGCATTGCATGAGGGTGACATTTAAAGGTGCGTGGGCATTAATTATATTTTTTTATTACTATAATTTAATGTCGATTACATCAATTTGATACTGTAATCAATGGAAAACAAGAAATAACCAAAAAAAAAAAAAAAAAATAATAGAGGCAACAAATAATTTAAGTGAAAAGGGTAATTAACCAATTCCTTAAAAGTGTTGCTTTAAATTTTCACTTCAGGTGAATGAAGCATAATTTGTTTATTTCCTATTTAGCGCCCCCAATGAATCATTTTTCTGTTTGGGGGATTTCCAATCACTCTCCAAATTAACTGCATTTAATGTTGATTGATGTCCAGATAGTCACAGGAAAATATATAATACGAGGAAATTATATTTTTTTGTCATGTACCGTATTACCAAATACTGACATGTGTGTGTATTTCCCCTAATTTTTGAAGAACACGTGAATATTATTTATTTATTAAAATGTCAAAGTTTTTTACACAACGGCACAAAAGTTTGTAGAAAGTACTATGAAAAATGGAACAACTTAATAATTCAGTAGTTAGTGTTCAGCACGTGTAAAATCGAGACTAGACGAAACAAAGGTAAAACTATAATTATTATTTTTACCCCCCTCTATATACCTTAAATCAAACAAAGATTACTAAACTTTCCTTTATATTGAAAAAAATGCATATACGAAATAAAAGTAAAAAACGCAACAACATAGGCTTGGGAGTTTGAAAAATCATTGATATGGGGGTCTACATTATTGTAAAATTACAACGAATACAGTTGTATGTTTTGAATGGGGAAAATCTCGAAACCTTAAAATACATGCCTAGAAATTGTTTTGAGGTGGATATAAACATACCTACATACACATTAGGGGTTTACACAAAAGTGTAATTCTTTAATCGATTGCATTTTTTTTATTTTTTTTATTATTTTTATTTATTTTTCAAGCATCCTGAAATAAGAAATATGCTAAAAAATCATTACAACATTGCAATTTGCAAAATACCTAAAATATTTCACTGTCTCAAGAGGAGTATGGAACAATTTTTCTTGCCTCAATATTCCTCACTTCTATCACCCCTCAGTAAAGAAAATTACTTTCATAAACTAGAACAGTGGAGTGTGACCTACTAAAAGCTTTTGGTATTTCGTTTCCACAACATTTTCGTTGTAGCGAAATCCTTTCATTTTTGGCCCAAATCAAGGTCAGCCGAACAAGCAATAAAACCAACCATAACTTCACACTTCAACTCACGTTTCGTTATTTATTTTTTCGTGAATTCTTTTACAACAGTCATAGCTGAAATTCATAACCTTCACCTTTAGATTCGCTGTTGCCAAACGCAGTAATTAAGGCATTCTACTTCCGCGCCCTGAACAATTGAAACCAGAAATAGACGAAATGACTTAAAAAAAAGTGTTAAATTTTTATCTCAATTTTTTGTTGCTTTGCACCACATAAAATGCTTACCTAATAAATTTCGATAAAAAAAATGAAACAGAGCCGAGCAGAGACCGACATTACGAATTAAAACAGGCTGTTCTAGATAAAGACGAACACAATTCTAAATAAACCACCAACGTTGTGTGGCAAATTTTTACTTACTCGTAGTAAATACACTGGGGGTAAATGGAATAGGTTTGTAAGTATAGTGTAACAATAAGGCAATAGGAAAGAAATTATGATAAATATATATTGCAAAAAAAAACGATTTTGCAACTGTTTTCATGGCTTTCTGGATCCGCTACATTATTTAATAATAAATAATAAAGACATAAGAGAATTTTATGACAAATAATATAGTAGAACATCTTTACTTGCTACGATTCCTTTGAAATGCTGTTATTACCATATTTTGAAAAAGCGGACCCTAAGACCCTTCGGTAACTCCTTAGAAGTTTAAAATTTACACCAAAAATGTGGTTATAAATAATATTTCTGAAGAAGATTTATTCCGAAAATACAAGGATTCAAATGAAATATTAATCCAAACATCTCAGAAAATGTTACAGAGGGAGGACTTGTTTCATTTATTTAGGATATTTTGCTATGTCAATTTTCAAAATGCTGATACACGTATCTTCTCTTTATACACTTTGTGTTGAGATTATATATTATATGGGGGCTATACGAAGACGTGTACTTACACAGACAATTTGCTGTCATAGGCCGTTGTATCCACTACGAACTTTAAATACCAAATTTGTAACATTTCCGGTGAATATTGTCGCTTAAATAACCAAAATATTGAAAATAGGGAGGTATCAGTATATGGGGGCTATATGAAGACGTGGGCCTGAACAGACAATTATCTGTCATAGGCTGTAAGACCCATTACGAATTTCAAATACCAAATTTGAAACATTTTCGGTGAATAATGTCACTGAAATCATCAAAATGCCGAAAAAAGGGAGGTACCATTATATGGAGGCTACAAAAAAAGTGGATCTACATGACCCATTTTCAATACCAAACAGTCTGCAGACATAATGCACATTTGAGTAAAATTTTATCAACCTGCTTCATTTCGTTAGGAAGCTAGAGTGATTTCCACAGAGGTACAGACGGCCGAACATCTCTAAATCGGCATAGAATTTTATGCTGATGAAGAATATATATGCGCTGTGGGGTCTAAAATGTATATTTCGAGGAACGACAAACTTTATATACCCTCCATACTTTATATACCCTCCATACAAAGTTCTGATTTTGAAATTTATCTGAATTTGTGGCAGAATATTTAAAAAAATAAAATCGACTAAAAGGGGTTTGAGCTTGGTCGGCCACTTAGGACAACAGCCTTCGCTTACTCTTCTATCTCTAATTTCATAATCTGCTCTGTTTTTATACCCTCCACCATACTATGGAGGGTATATTAATTTTTTCATTCCGTTTGTAACTCCTCGAAATATTCATGTCAGACCCAACAAAGTATATATATTCTTGATCAGCGTAAAATTCTAAGACGATTTAGCCATGTCCGTCTGTCTGTCTATCCGTCTGTCTGTCTGTTGTAATCACGCTATCTTTCGAACAAATTGAGATAGAAGGCTAAAATTTTGCACACATGTATATTTTGCCAGTAGGCAGGTTAAGTTCGTAAATGGGCCATGTAGGTCCAAGTTATCATATAGCCCCCATATAACGGTACCTCCCGATATCGGTATTTTGATGATTTTAGCGACATTATTCACCGGAATTATTTCAAATTTGGCATTTGAAGTTCGTAATAGATACTACAGCCTAAGACAGAAAATTATCTGTGCAGGTCCACGTCTTCGTGTAGACCCCATGTAATGGTACCCCCCGATATTCGGTTTTTTGATGATTTTAGCGACATTGTTTACCGGAATCGTTTCAAATTTGGTATTTGAAGTTCGTAATAGATACTACATCCTAAACCAAAAAATGAGCCATGTAGGTCCACGTCTTCATATAGCCCCCATATAACGGCACCCCCCGATATTCGGTATTTTGATGATTTTAGCGACATTATTTACCGGAATCGTTTCAAATTTGGTATTTGAAGTTCGTAATATATACTTCATCCAAAGTCAAAAAATGAGCCATGTAGGTCTACGTCTTCATATAGCCCCCATATAACGGTACCCCCCGATATTCGGTATTTTAATGATTTTAGCGACATTATTTACAGGGATTGTTTCAAATTTCGCATATGAAGTTCGTAATGGATACTTCAGCCATGCCAGAAAATTGTATAAGCATTCGGTATTTTTAAGATTTTAACAGAATTTTTAACGGGTTTTATTTTTTGGAAATTACCAAATTTGTACCAAATGGTGGAGGGTATTAAAAGTTCGGCCCGGCCGAACTTACAGCTTTTTTACTTGTTTACCGGATGTTACACACTTTGCAGCCACAATGAACTTGTAAAACGCTCTCCACCATAAGCCCAGGACCAACATTTCGGTGTATGGTACAAAAAGCAATATTAACTCGTAAATACATAAACTTATCCAATTTTCCTCCACTATATCTATGTAGGTGTACCCTCGCATAAGCGAAATGTGCAAACTTGACTTTGAAAATTAGCCGCCACTGCTGCCTCTGTCGTTACACACAAAAACCGCTCAAATCCAAATCAAGCAACCAAAAACTTGACATCAAATTTCGTGAACAGAACAGACCCGGATCAGAACAAAAACAGTATCACACGAAGAACCAAAAGCTTTTCGACAGAAAAAAAAAAACAAGAAAAAAAACAACTTTTGTTTTAGTCTCCCAGCTGTTTGCTGTTTTACTGATTGTTTGCGTGCAAAGAACTTTTTCTGTGCAAATCAGATAAAGAGCGGTAGCTATGACTCGGCCTAGCTGGGTGATACATTCAAACACACAGCCAGCAGAACACCATTGAAATAAATCAAATCACTGAAGAATATATGGGAATGTTTGTTGTACGTTTCGTGCGATAGCCCATCAGCGGCAGCGACAGCGGGCAGTAACAACAACGCCAGGCGTTGTTGGATTCTATCAAAGCCCAAATCATCCACAGCAGACGCAGGCAAACAGTTGTTGAGTTGCCTTCGCTCAGGGCACACACATCGAGAGCAAATTTATTCAGTTCGCATAGCTTTTACAAAAGTGTTCTTGTTTACCATTCTACTATTGTTGTCGTCGGTGGCTTTTAAAGCTGACAGCAGTGGACAATTTATAATCGGCAGTCGTTTGTTTTTGAAAAAAAAAATCAAGAAAATTACAAAGTAAACGTGTTCTTAAATTAATTCAAGAAAATATTTGAAAAAAAAAGAAAAGAAATTTAGATAGAATTCTGTGTGATATACCTACCCAATTTATGTTATTGTTTTTCCATCTGCCATCGGTGGATACGAAAAAAGTTTCTGTTAAAGGACATTGAAAGCTTTCTGCATTTTCTCTCTCTCTCTGTATGCGTGTGTGCGAGTGTTGATTGTGTGTACAACAATATGCGTGTCTAAAGGATACACGGAAAGCTTTTCATTGAGACTTACGATGTCAAAGTGATAACAGTTGATGAAATCAACTAAAAAAAACACAAAGAAAACAAAAACAGAAAACCTCAAGCATTGAGCATAAATTGTGTACACGCTTAAGAAGAAAGATGAACAAAATTATATAAAAGTGCAAGTGAAAATTAGTCAACAAAAGAATACTAGATATATATTTTTTAACAGAGCAAACGGCAACATTTACCTACCTAGAAGTGATTTTTTAAAAAATAATTACAATCCCAACGTTAAGCATTTTAGTTTTTATAAAGAATACATTTATTTTTGATATAAATATCTATCAGTTGATTAAGTGACAACAACAGCTACAATATGGGAACCATGCCTACTTTGGATCAAATTAAATTGGGCCTAAAGTAAGTGGAAAAAAGATTGTATTTTTTATTTATTTATTTTTAATATATAATTTTTATATATTATAATAATTATGTGTGTATATGATACAGATATATATTATATTTTAATAAAAAATATATATTTTTGTTTTTTTTGCTTCTCTTATAAATAATACGAAAATAGGCATATGTTTTTATTAGCCTCCTCATTAGTTTTGGCATGACAAGCCATTTTCTCTCAAGTGCAAACATATTTCCACCATTTCCGCAGTAGAAGACAACAACAAGAAATTTCGCGTTCCCCCAAAATATTCTATTCTTTTATTTTGTGTTATAATTATGTCGGAAAATAATGTTTTTTTTTTGTGGCTAAATTTATTGTCTCGAATTTGTGAAAATTATTGTTTATGACAACAACACCAAAAACAACAGTGTAGGCTATACATATTGTCATTCACAAAATTTTGAGAAAAACAAACTTCTATAGACGATATACATATACTACATACTGAAGCAAATTAACATAATACCCATACATATGTGTACATAAGTATCTATGTACACATGTTTTGTCAGAGATGTCCAACATGATTTATTGCCGTTTTTATCTTATCATGGAGATAGGGATATATATGAAGGAGACTAGTTGGAGACCTGGATGGGAAATTTTTGGCATTAAGAATGTTACTTTAAACTGTCTAACATATAGTTTTATACCCTCATCATATGGTTCTGCCTTAGTTTGTCTTTTTTGCGATATTCACTGAAATAACTCATTTTCTTATTAGATATCATTTAAGAGGAAACTACCGAGATTTTTAAAATTTTAAGAAAAAATGGGCATTAGCTTCTGATTTGAAAATGTTATACCTATGTAGCGGAAAGGCCGATATTTTGTCCATTTTATATTACGATGTAGGGTAAGTGTGCCTAAGTTCGGCATGTCCCAGTAGTCGGCACTTTTTATTTTTAAGCCCAAATAAATGAAACTATTATAACTAAATGTATTTTGCTTACTTCAAATATATTGTCAGCTATCTTTGTGTACAATTTCGCTAAGAAAAGATGATTTATTCCAATAAAAATTAATTTTTTGTCTGTGAAGGTCCCCAACAATCCATATTCTTAAGAAAAGTACAATAAAGACGTCGAATCATTTTAACTAAACAAAAAGATTATATTTTAATGAATCAATTTATTATTAATTATTCTTACAAAAAAATTGGTATGCCTACTGTTGGAACATGCCATACCGACAATTAGCAAGTGGTGCCGACTACTGGCAAAAAAGCATTGTTTTAATAAAACTACAAATTTATGAAATTTAATAAAAAGTTATTAAAACTCAATTTATTATTGCAAAAACTATACAAAATTTCGAATCTGAATAAAGTAACTTTGTAATAATTGAAATGTTCCACTCAGAATAGTGAGCGATTAAAAACGCGAAAATCCTAAAAGTGCCGACTACTGGTACACTTACCCTACGAAGTTTGGTCTATATCCGATGTGTGCTCTGTTTTTTGAAAAATATAGTTCTTTTAAAGTTTTGAACTTTCTTTATTAAAAAAATTAGGCGATACGAGTATATCTCAGATTCATACTAGCTAATTTTTTAAGGAAAATTCGGTATTTTCTTCATATATTTTTAAAATAGTGATTTTTTTAAATGGCTTTATATGGATTTGCTACAGATAAGCGGACCAATAATCATTTTTTGGGACGCAGGATTGGTATTCTAATTTCCAAATGTAAAAAAATTCGTTAAAATATGCCTCTATAATTTAAAAAATTTCGAATATCAGGTGCTACAATTATATGGGGCTTTAAGAAAACGTGGACCTTTGCAGCTAACTCCCTGTCAGAGTAGGTGGTGTCGTTTACGAACTCATAACACCATAATATATAATCCTGCTTAAAATTGTTAGTAATACCATCAAAATACCGAATATTGGGAAGTACCGCTATATAAGGGCTATACTAAGGTATGGATATGTATAGGTAATTTTCTGTCAGTAATATGGTAGCTAAACAAAGAGGTCGATCTGCACATGCAATTTTCTGTCAGTGTAGGTGATACCCATTACCAACTCTAAATACCAAATTTGAAACAATTTCGGTGAAAAGTGTGACATCATCAAAATACCGAAAAACTTAAGGTACCGCTATATGCTTATACGAAACCGGGTACCTCTACAGCCAATTATCTGTCAGAGAAAGTGGTGCCTATTATGAACTCCAAATACCAAGTTTGGGATAATTTTGTTAAAAAATTTAGCTGAACTCCTCAAAATACCGAATATTGTGAGGGACCGATATATGGGGGCCATGCGAAGGCGTGGATCTGTACAGAAAATGTTATGTTATAGCTAGATTGTAACTATTGCGAACTTCAAATACGAAATTTGAAACATTTTCGAAAAAAACAAATGGGACGCACATCACCAAAATGCCGAATAGCTGGGGATATAGTTATATAGGGTTTATTCCAAAAACTTGGACCTATATACACAGTTTATTACAACGATGGGAACACTTACCTCCAATTTTCAGCAAATTCGGTTTGAAATTGTGACTAAAACACCCAAAAGCCCATTTAAAAAAGTCCTGCAAACCTAAAACACCTCGGAGTAAAATGTAACGGAAACTAGAGTGATTATCACAGACGGACAGACAGACAGGTTGACGGGCATGGCTAAATCGACTACTTCAAAACATCAAGAGTCGGCCTTCACCCCTACATGAGACCAACTAATATTGAAAAAATTCGAACAACCCAAATTTTAAGATGTAGATCAATCCCGTTGAAAATTGAAGCTGAGACCTTTGATACCCCGAATATAAGGAGATATCGCTAGATAATGAACCTCACCAGGAAATCTTCTGCAGGAAGGTTTTGAATTCTCTTAAAATCAGAAACGAAAAATTACCGTTAATTTGGACTCAAATATCGAATATTGTAAATACAAGTTACTGACTCATTTAGGACAGGTTTGAAGGGCACTAGCCAATTATCAGGAAACTTTCCAACTTCTTGAAATGAAGGCTGTTATCACTTTGTTTAAATAAAATGCAACTAATATCATAACTGTTTTTAGTGTAAAAAATGTTCCTCGACACAATGGACCCATTCCCAGAGTCCTAAGTCTGTTAGTTTCCGCGATATTTGCGATCGTTTGAAGTTGAAGGGCACTAGTCAATTTTCAGGAAAATTTCCAACTTCTTGAAATGAAGGCTGTTATCTCTTTGTTTAAAAATGTTCCTCGACACAATTGAACCATTCCCAGAGTCCTAAGTCTGTTAGTTTCCGGAAGTGCACCTCTTTCTTTCGGAAGGCGTGTGTTGGGGGCATTAAAACTGACAATAACTCATTTGTTCTTGAATGAGATATTAATTTTTTTATTTCAACGTCCCAGGCTGACGTCTGATGTTCTTCGGAAGGGAGTTCGTTCCGGCTAGCTTCGACCAATTCGTTAGCTTTTTTGTTTTCGACCAGATAAGACTTATTTTTTACTTTCATTGGTTTTGCTTTGAGAGAGGAATTTGATGCCTCAAAATCATATTTTAATAAAACCAATATAATTTTCGTTACACCCCAATACACACACTTGTGGGTATGTACATGACTGAGGTTATTCGAACAGCTGTTTTTGTCATGTTTTCGTTTATTTTTTTCTCGTGACAAATATTCTTGCGGAAATTGTTGTTTCATGATGCCCAATACCAAGAATAACATTTCACTTTTAATTATAGCAAAAAATGTTTTTTTTTTTTTTTTTTTTTTTTTTTTTTGCCAAACAACATATAAACATGCGAAAAATTGCGGGCCATAAAAACTATGCGGATTTAGAATAATCAAAACAATCTAGACTCTAAACATTCATCATCAGCCCATAAAACTTTTATACAAATACATAGTCTGAAGGTTTTGCTTCTTGGCAGATAAACAAAAAAATGTTGATAGTGGATGGAAATGTATTAGTAAAATGTAGTTTTCCAAAAAAAAAAAAAAAAAATAAAAATATGAATTAGAGGTAGACAGAGAATACCATTTTGGTACAGATTTTTTTTTTTTTTTTTTGACAAAAAAAAGAGAATAGTATAATCTTTTGCTATTACTTTATATAAGAAAGAAACATATAGGCCAAAAATTTCATCCATATATTTTATTTCCATTCATTTTCTGGAAAAAATAGGTCAACATTTATAGGAATGATTCATAAAATTTCTCCAAATTACAATTACTTATATCACAGGTTCTTAATATAATATTTACACATTATCAAATTCCATTAGGATTAAAAATATACCGCAAATGACAATTTCACCATTACCTTCGCCATTATTGCACCTAAAAATGCATCTCTTAATACTCCTCTCTTTAATTTTAGGTAATATTTGTTTTACAACACATATTTCCTGAAAATTCCCTTGGATATATGCGTTATTCACAGCAAACATCGATGCTACTCTCAGACTAAAGAAAATCAACACTTCTCCACTCGCTTTAGAATTCCCATTTCGAAATTGAAATTTTTGTTTGTATATCTTGCGCACAGGTGCAATAAACAAACCGCCAAAAGAGGGTGGTGGCGATAGTCAATAAAATCGTATCAGCAACACGAGATCCAACCAAAATTGGGTCAATAAAAATTTTCGTTTCGTACAAATTCACTTTGAATGGGAATTGTGAGTGTGAATGAACGGTGGAAACTTGTGTTATCAGTGGGCTAATATTTATTCTATTACTTAATTTGTCTAATGACAGCAATCGTTTAATTATAATATTTATTATATTTTTTTTTTTGGTGTTTTACAAGTGGCCAACACATTTTGTGGTAGGCACAAACTACATACATACATACAATGTCTTCTGATATGAGAAGGAACTAATTTAAATCATATTGATGTAGTTGTGGTAATGGCATGTGGTTTCTTCTAGGATTGTCCAAATACATCAAAACATTATTCAGCAAAATGCAAGTAATTTGAAAATGACAAGAATAAATCGACTATATAAA